GAACTCTCTGTATTATTTCTCACAACTGCATTTGAATCTACAATTATTTGAAAAAAAGTTTAACTTTTAAAAAGTAAAACAAAATATGTCTGTTTTGGTTATTTTATTGGGACCCTCCTTGAGGTCTGGGAGATGAACTTGGATTATCACTCAGATGAATAAACAATCCAGCACCTATAGCCTTAAATAGCATCACAGTCATCCCAATTTAACAAGCCAGAAACCTATCTATCACCCTCAGTTCTGCCCCTCACTCCTCTCTCAAGCAGTTAGGGAAAAGTCTAGCTAAACTACCAAAATACATCTTGAATTTGTTACTTCTCTTTCCCTGCTACCACCATTATTTCTAGTGGTTAACAGCAAGGATGAACTGTTAAAAGAGCCCTGCAATCATGTCTCTTCTCTTTCTCAGACGCCCCATCCAATGCACCCCCCACTCAACAGCATGAGTGATCTTAAAACATATATTGGATCATATCATTTCCATGCTTAATCCCCTCCAGTGAGTTCCCATTGCCCTTGGCATGAATCCAAGCTCATTCCCATGGCCTTCAAGGCCCTGCATGAGTACAGCTGCTATTTCCCCAATAACATCTCTTTCCAGTTCCTCTGGCTCTCTGGCTTTAACTACACTTCTCTTATTCTTCCACCAAGATCTTTCCTCTCTCAGGCTTTGCTGCATATACTTGCCCCCTCCACACCACCTGCCCATTCTTCAGGTATCAGCTAAAAAGACACCTCTTCAAACAAATTTTTCTGAGCACTTTTTCTAAAGTGGGCATCTCCTGTTGTTCTCTTCGTCAGTACTATTTAATTTATTTCATAGAATGTAACCCCATTAGAGTAGAAACCTGTCTGTTCCATTCACTGTTATAACAGGTGCCTAGCAAAATGCAGTGTAAATAGTGAATTTATTGACACTTAAATCAATCAATATCCAATGCCAGCCTCAGACGCCTTCTCCCCCATTGCAAGAAAGTATGGGGCAACTCTTCTTGAACTTCCTCCATTTATTAAACAAATATTTACTGAGTGCCTACTATGAAGTAGTACTCTACTCCAGGCACTCTCACAGTAGTACTCCAGGCACTCTCACAGGCACTAGAAATAACAAGATGGTCAAGGTCTACCCATATATGGTGGAGAAAGGGGAACACGATAAGTAATACACAAATAAATAATAAAATAATAATAAATTTTAATTAAAATAATTTTAATATTTAAACAATGAAATATGTAATTATTAATTTATATTATATAGCAATCATATTACACTTATAATATAGTGTTATAATTATTACTTATTAATTTACATATAAATATTTAATGTTTAATATTTTGATTATAAAATAATAGTAAATAAAATTTCAAGCATAAGTGCTAGGAAGAAAATAGAGTAACAGGACCGAGAATGAGTTGGAAGGGGTAAGTGGTGTTCACCTTAAGAAGACAGGATGCATGGAGAGGGGTGCGTGGGTGGCTCAGTTGGTTAAGCGTCCAACTTTGGCTCAGGTCATGGTCTCTCAACTCATGAGTTCGAGCCCTGCATCAGGCTCTGTGCTGACAGCTTGGAGCCTGGAGCCTGCTTAGGATTCTGTCTCCCTCTCTCTCTCTCTCCCCCTCCCCTGCTCATGCTCTGTCTCTCTCTGTCTCTCAAAAATAAGCATTAAAAAAAAAAAAAGAAGATGACTGGCTGGAGAGGGGCACCTGGGTGGCACAGTCAGGTAAGCATCGAACTCTTGGTCTGGGCTCAGGATCATCTTGCATGAGTTTGAGCCCCACATCAGGCTCTGCCCTATTGGTGTGGAGCCTGCTTGGGATTCTGTCTCTTCTTCTCTCTCTGCCCCTCCCGTGCATGCTGCCTCTCTCTCTCTCTCAAAATAAATAAACAAACTTTAAAAATTTTTAAAGAAAGAAAGAAAAAAAAGACTGGCTGGAGAGTCTGAACTGTCATCTGAATGTAGAGGTGCTGGCCACAGACAAATCTGGGGCACAGCACTCTAGACAGCGACCCATGGAGTACAAAGGTGCTGAGCCTGGAACACATTAAACAAGTCTGAGGCCAGTGTGGCTAAGCAGGAGAGGAGGAGAGTAGTAGGGGAACAAATCTCAGTGTCAAGGAATGCTACACCAAGTCAGCCATGGTAAAGAATGTGGGTGTCCTTCTAAAGGTGACTGGGACACCTCTGGAGACGTTTAAGCAAGGGGTATTATGGTCTGGTTTAATTTTTAAATCACTGCTGGCTGCTCTGTCAAAAGGGACTGTAGGGTAAGAATGGAGACAGGGAGGCCAGATAGTCACAGTCAGAAGAGACGCTGGTAGCTTGGACCAGAGAGGTATCTGGAGAGGGCGAGAAGAGGCAGGCTACGATGAGGGCAAATCTGACTCGGAAATCTTAAAATACACCAGACTTCCTCAGGGAACAGGAGTTTCCCACACTCCCTTGTGCTCCTGGCTTGGCCCAGTTTGAACTTACTTGATTTGGTTCCCCAGAGATGCCTTTGCATTACCCGCACTTGCCCCAGTGAGAGAGGAATGCAGCATGCTGGGATAGCTGGTTTTCTTTCTTCCCATTTATAGAAATAAACTAAACACTCGTGTTGCTGAATGGAAGGATAATAAATAATAATAATAATAATAATAATAAAGAGCGGCTCTTCTCTATACTTGGAAACTCTCACCACCTAGAGATACTGGTTATCTACTACGAAGGTTAAATTAAGCAAGAAGTAATCAGAATCTGACCCGACGGGTTTAAAGTGTGAAGCCTAAAGAACAACCACACAGAACTGGTTCACCCCACCTGGCAGGGATCTCTGGGTGATTCTGGGCACCGAAGCACCTCTCTGAGAGGCCCCCAACCCGACAGCAAAGCACAAAAAGCCTGACTTTATCCTACAGCCGGGGAAACACGAGGACGCCTCCGTGCGATCGATCGATCGGACCTGCAGCTCCTCCAGTGGGCGCCCCAGCAAACTCTCCCCAGAGGCCGAAATGGAGTATCAGTCCTCCGAGGGCTAAATCCACCAAGGCAATCACCGTGACTGCCACCCTCCACCCCCACCCCGGAGATAGTTTCAGCCCTTCCCTAAATGGTGCGGAGATGACTCATTTCTGAGCAGGAGCAGAGCAAGAGAGGTCCTCGCTAAACCAGAGGAAGCTGGTCTGGGTGACTCAAGGTCCCGCGTCCCGGTTAGCGAGGGTGCGCTCCCAACGGCGAGGAGGACAGCGCCCTGCGCGCGCTGTTCCCACGGCCCGGGCTGTTCCGACCGGACCCGAAGTTAAAGGCTCGCCTGATCCCACGCAGCATTCAAGGCCAATGCTGCCTCTTAAAAAGTAAGATTCAAAAAACAGAGGATAGGAAAAATCTGGAAGGTAACCCAGTTTCCACAGCCGCCCAAAGACTCTTTATTGCGATGTCACGTCACTGGAAGATGATTGCTAAGAAATTCTCCCCTGATTGTAGAGGCTCTGACGGGGAAGCGTTCGCATCAGCCGCTGAAACTGGTGCAGAAAGCAGACTCTGGCAACGCACTAACGTCAGTGGTGGCAGGTGGCTACCTGGGCTAACTTTGCTCCCCCAAAGCTTAGCTCAACAACGGAGAGTGCCTTATGTTACGATGAACGAGTTAATCTACGTAAAATGCTGAGAGCAGCACCTGGCAACAAGCAAGAACTCAATAAAGATTAACTATCATTGCTAATAATATTCCTTCATGCCTTTCTACTAAAGAAAAAAAACTGTGTTGCGTGTCTGTGATTCCATTCATCTGTCCTTATACCTTACGAGCTCCAAGTGTTTTATTTATCTCAAGTATTTCAGAGCCTGGGACTGTACCGGGCTCTATAAAAGTATGTGGTTTGAGTTGAATTATTTACTCAGTTGTGTTACCCTGCAGAGAGTGGTAATTGAAATAAAAGGATGACAGCAAAATACAAGACACATGAAATCAGAGTCTCCTTTACCTCTTCACTTTATCACTGTCTGTTTCTTTGTAACATCCCTGGCTTGGGGGACTCTCTGTTATATTTCCTCCCTAGGACCTGGTTCCAGCTGAGCCTCAGTGGAGCCAGTGACAATCGTCCCAAACACAGTTCAAGTTCAACCAATTTTGATGCCACCTGGGCTCCCATAGGGACTAAATATCATACAGGAGACACAGAAGGGCACAAACTCAAGCCATATGGGCAGATTTATTTAAGAACCCCACTCCAACAAGTGTCTTTGACATACACCAAAACAATAATAATAATAGCCAACACTGCTGAGCACTTATGCATTATGCTAAGCAGTTTCCTATGACATTTAATCCACATGACAAAACAACGTGTGTTCTCTTATTTTCATTTTATTAGGTGAAAAAAACTAAGGCACAGAAAAGTCACTGTGAGCCAGCCGCTTAATAACACCACCAGTAAATGCTGAGATTCAAACCCAAGTTCTCAGCTCTCCAAAGCTCATTCAGGTGAACCACTCAAGACTGCAATGGCCTCTGGCTACACAAACCCAGCTGGAAAGCAAAAACATCACTGTACTGGTTCTCTACAGGGCAGAATGGAGTGTCCTCCCTTCTCCCTGTCTTTGTCATCCCCACAGCATGGTATGTTGGCCCAGCACATCTTACCTTCTACAAAGGACCCCAACGATTTCTTTTTTCACCTATCTCTGATTACTGGCATACTTAACGTGTCTTAAAGTGTGACCATCTCTGCTTTGTAACTCATGCTTAAGGGACCTACTCCAATTTTCTTTTGCTGGTACACAGGCATTGAAGCCACAAGTCACTAAGACAAAGCATTTATTGATTACATTCTCATCAATATCAGCCTCTGCCAAGATTAGATTTGAACTTTTACATGGCCACACGGCTTCCTTGCCTTGCTCCTCCTCCTCTAATGTATAACTAGTAGAAAGCTGGAGAAAGGCAGAGGCTGGCCAGCTGCGTGTGCCACACTCACTACAGGACTTGGAATTCAGAGGAGGACTCCACCTGGTAAAATGACAAAAGATAAGGTAAAACAGCATTATGTTTATTTTAAATGGGCTTGAGGAAATGAATAGGGGGATTCGTTCAAGTTGGTGACCATATGGAGGATTTGGGGAATGTTGGGTGTTGCTACCACAGATCAAAGCTACTTCTCTTGGCCAACTGATAGTTCATCTGGCTGATAAAATATATATTTTATTCAGGATTTTACATCATGTATCTATTCAGGATTTTAAGGATATTTACTGTTTTCTGACCAATCTGTGTAACTTTTTCTCAAGTGATTTTGCATAACCATATTACCGAAGGAATGTGCAAAAAAAGGGGCAGGTTAACCTGAATCTAACTAATCGTGAAAATTGGTCTGAAATTTTAATAAATGACAATGAATGAAAAACAAGAGGTAGAAGGACTGTTCTAGATAAAAGGAGACTAAGAACTGACAACCAAATGGGACAGGTGATCTTAGATCCTGGAAAGAAGAAAAGAGCTGTAAGGGAAAATATGGGGACAGTTGGGAAATTTTGAAAATGGGTTGCTTATTAGATAATATTAGTATATCTATTACATTCTTGGGTGTGATATGGTATTATAATTATGTAGGAGAATGTCTTTGTTCTAAACGAGTACATGCTAAAGTATTTAGGAATGAAATGGCACTAGTATGTGCAAATTCTTTTCAAATGATTCTAACAAAACAACAGATATACATACGTACATGTGTATGCACGCGTGCACACACACACAGTGCAAGTTTAACAAGTGTAAATGTGAACCATCCTTGAACACAGGTTATGGAGTGGTCATTGCACTACTTTTTCAGCTTCTCTGTAGATATGATATTTTCCAAAATAAAAACTTAAAGAGAAAAAGGTCATAGTGCTGTTGTTCCCTTATAAGTTTTCCCCAAACTCACCCACCCCTGCACATAATCATACATGTGGGTAAATCTGTGGCCCTGGAAGAGTAGGACCCCTAAAGTTCTGACCTGATGTAACTTTCTGTAAGCACTTCTTCATGTCAGTAAGTGACGAAGCTGGGAGCAAAGACTTTGCAGTTAGCCAGGCTTGGATTTAGAGTATGGTGATGCTACTTACTTGCCGTGAGACCAGAGTTATTTAAGCAAGCTTGGGTTTTCTATATTGTGACAAAATGCAAACATATTGGGCTACAATAGAAGGATATGACATAGGATATGCAGGGAAAACAATAGTTTTTTATGGTCTGGGGGTATTTAAATGAGATAATATTACAGAGTTCAGATGACTGTTAATGCTAATAGTTATGTATTTATGTGCTGCATATTTTAAAAATAACTAGGACACCCTGATTTCCTATCACAGCCCAGGATAAAGCTAAAGCAGTCAACACTTTCAAGATGATATGAAGACAAATATTACGTTAATAACTATACAGATGGTATGTAGATTTGGCAAAATAATAAAGGTAGTGTTCAAATAACTAGAGTTTGGAAGATACTGCAAAAGGGAAGATAATGTGCTTACCACAGTGTCTGGCATGTAGTAAGTGCTCAAGCTTCATTTTGAACTATGATTAAATTTCCTTTGGGAGCTTGAGAAACTGTCATAGGGCTTTTCTTGAGAACTAAGGAATTGCCTAATAATGGAACCCAGAAATGATGCGAACTGATGGAAAGCACAATGTTGCAGCTTTGTAAATCTGCCCAGACTTTGAAAGAAGTGGGATAAACATGGAACTGAGGGTCAGGAGACCTGAGTTCCCACATTGGATATGCCCAATAATGCACTATATAACTCAGACAAGAGACTTGAACTCATTTTCTTCAAGTAAAAAATGAAGAAATTAGACTAGAATCCTCTGTTCTCTAAGGCCCCTTTCAGCTTGAAAATCCTATGGCTTGAGAGGCCCGTGGGGTTTTCTAAAGTTGGATGCAAGATCACCTTTAGGTTCGCATTTGGAGTCATGCAGTTTAGAGGGAAGACATCAGCTTTTCCTCCTGACCTAGTCAATCAGTAGCTGCTGAAAATCTGCTTTTGCGTTTATCAGTGAGAGCTTACAAACACCAGCTCTGGGTTCCAACACTAGAATATCTGTTACTAGCTGTATTGTAGTTGGAATATTGCTTAATCTTCTGTGAGCTCTGATTTCCTCACCTGCAAAATGAAGATAACTTTCTGCACTTTGTAGTATTGCTGTGAAGATTACTGGCGATGTATGAAAAGTTGAAAGGTGGTTGGTTGACAAGAGAGATAAATGAGATCCTAATGTGATTAAAGATGCAGTTGTTTTATAGCCCTTTTATTGTTTATAGAAAGACCATATTATGCATCTTGTTTAATCTTTATGATAATCTTATGCATTAAGTATTATTATACCCACTTTTTTGGCAAAGAAACAGGCTCAGGGTTATTAAAGGCCTAGCTGGGACTCTTTGAGGTTTCCTGAATTCTAAGTCTCTTTGTTTTTTAACAAACCCTTTTGATTTCTAAGCCACAAATTAAACATTACATTTTTTTTTATGTTAGAATTCAGCCACTTGCCTAGTCTACATACTTCCACATTTATCCAGCAGCAGATTTTTAATTGGATGTGGAATCTAGTTTCTCTAACTTAAAAGTGTTAAGCTCTAAGTGAAGGTAGTCATTTTAAGATATCTTGTAGCCCATGAAGAAGCTAAGAGAAAAGGCTTGAAGATTTCAGCCATTCTGTAGGTATTTAGCCTTCAGACAAATTCCTTACCCTTTGTGTATTGGTTTTTCCATATGTGACAGGATAATAATAATTACTACTTACAAGGCTGTTGAAAGAACAGGCAACCATTTAGAACCTGTACAGAGTAAGATCCTAAGTTCTCACTGTTTTCATTAGCTCCTATGTACCTAACCTTGAGTCAGTTTCTTAGGCATCAGATTTAATGGATGGGGTTAACAAGCTAATTCAAAGGTAGCAGTCTTCAGACGTATTCCCTCTCATAAACGAAACTTTCTTTGACCAAGCTTAGTGCCAAACCACACAGAAGATTGACTATAAATGCTACCTGTTTTCATTTCACAACTGAAAAAGGAAAGATGGGAAGCAAAGAACCGGTTTAAAGTGAAGTTCAGAGAGGGTAATTAAACCTGAAATAAGAGAAAAACAAAGAAAGAGAAGGAAAGAATGTAAGGAAGGAAAGGAGGAAGGGAGAAAGGGAGAAAGAGAGAAAAAAAGAAGGAAGGAAGGAAGGAAGGAAGGAAGGAAGGAAGGAAGGAAGGAAAGAAGGAAGGAAGGAAGGAAATCAAACAGCTCCAGAGACTTCTATATTTAGAACTATCGCTTCAGTTGGGAATTCAAGTGACCTGCTTCAAATTGATAACATTATTCCTTATCTGACCAACTAGATGAAATTTCCATCTTAGGAAGCTAAAGTGGGGAGACTGCAGCTTCCCTTGGCATGACAAGACCAGAGCCAACTCTAAAAAAGAAGCCAGGAAGACCAGAGGACAAGGACTTTAAGAACACTCTAAGATTTCTAAATGTTTAAAAACTATTTCCTTCACAGTTCCTTTTTGTTGTTTTTGTTGTTGTTATTCCTATAAAATGAGAAATTGGTTTTAGGGGCAGCCCCAGAATTGCTACAGTAATGACTTAGAACAATGTGATTAGAAAGTAATGGAACCGGAGCTCCAGAGAACTTCGATCTCTGAAAATTAAATTTCGTTTTTATCAAAGTAATGTAGGAGCAGCTAACGCTGTTTGGAGTGGCAGGGGTGGGCCAATGGAGATTATGGGGGACCAAATATGCTACTGCCACCACCTTCACCACCCACTTCCATTTCCATAGCACCCCTGCTCACCATTGGCATGGTGACTAGTTGGATTGTTAAAATAAGAAGAGAGGAACTATATGATTGTCTGGTGGGGGCAGGAGGAGAGAGCCAGCAGAGAGCAGAAGCCCAGGGATGGAGTGGGAAGGGCAGTCACTAAGACACCAAGTACTTGGACATTCTGCCACAGGAAGAAAAGGAGATGAAGGGAAGAAATTGGGTGAGTATATCATGGCCCTGGATTTGGTGGTGGGAAGGCCATGAGGTTCTTCAACTGAATTGTAGATGAAGTTGAGTAACTTTGGCCCTTTTGTATTTTTGTACAGAAACTTCACAAGTTTTCTGTGGGTAGATGAGGAAGGAGGGGATTTGTGTGGTGGGTAGTGGGAAAGTGAACTTGAAATTGGGTGTATTGGTGATTTGGTTTCAGCGTCACACTTGCAAATTCTATAAATATGTGCACTCTTAATATATTTTTTAAATGTTTATTTATTTTTGAGAGAGACAGAGTGTGAGTGGGGGAGGGACCAAGCGAGAGGGAGACACAGAATCCAAAGCAGGATCCAGGCTCTGAGCTTTCAGCACAGAGCTTGATGTAGGGCTTGAACCCACAAACTGTGAGATCATGACCTGAACTGAAGTCGGACGATTAACTGACTGAGCCACCCAGGCACCCCAGATATATATATTTTTTTATTGAGAAAGATAATGATCCTAGATTTTAAATGTTTGCTCCTTATCTGACCAACTAGATGAAATTTTGAATGTCTTGAATTTTGAATGTCTATTTCTGACCAATGAAAAATGCAAAATAACCCATTAGTTAAAAGCATAAGGTCTGGATCCATGTCATTATTGTACAAGTTACTGCCTCTGAGACCTTAATCTAGTCTAGTTACCTATAAAATAGGGATGCTGATGGTGCTGTCATGAGAAATGTGGTTGGTAGAATAATGGCTCTCCAAAGATGGCCATTACCTTATCTCCAGAATATGTAAATATGTTACCTTAAATGGCAAAAAGGACTTTACAAATGTCATTAAGATAGGGAGATTTCCCTGGATTATCCAGCTAGGCCAAATCTAACCCCACAAATTCTTCAAAGGGAAGAACTTTTCCGGCAGTGGTCAGGATTAGTGTGAGGACCTGACTGACCCATTTCTGGCCACAAAGACAGGGGAAGGGCACCACTAGCCGAGGAATGTGGTGGCCTCTAGAGCTCGGAATGGCCCTCACTTTGCAGCCAGCACAAAAACACAGATTCTACAACCATGGGGAACAGAATTCTACCATCAACCCAAATTTTCCTCCACAGCCTCCAGAGAGGAACACAACCTGCCAACATCTTAATTTTAGTCTGGTGAGACTCATACCAGACTCTTGACCTACAAGAACTATAAGATAATAAACTAGTTTCGTTTATTAGACAAATAAGAGAAAACTGAGAGCAGTTAAAAGAGATGATACACATAGAGCAATGAATAGACATGCACTAGGCATAAATATTCAGTATCAGGCCTTGAAGCTGTGTTTGCATTGCACCTAATATCAGATTGTCTAGATTGTAGTGATAGACACTATCAGGGAAGTGGGTTGAAGCCTTCTCAAGGTGCCCACAGGGCCCCTCACTGCTGCTGCTGGTTACTCCCTATAAATAAAATGAAAGGATGAAATTCCCTGTCCTTGGAAACAGCTGAAGGGGAAAAAGTATTTGAGGAAAAACCACCAACCATGTAAATGGAACTCATTTTAGCTTTGGCTGCCTGAGGCACTAGGTATTAGAGATCTAGTTACATGTTAAAGGATAATTCAAAATCTCTGGTAATCCCATACACCATGTAGCATATTGTGTGTATGTATACACACATGTACATTTTACTTTGAATTTATTTACAATTATTTTATTATGTATATGTATAAATATACATATGGTTTATATCTCAATATATAATGTATATTATATGAGATATATATGCTTCTTTTAAGATATACATATATAATATTATCATATCTTTGGGGAAAGTTTTTAAGTCCTTTCAGGGAAGGAGGTTGCTGGGAAGAAAAGTCTACAGAGGTGCCACCTGAACTTGATTCTGAATTAGTGGAAAGAGGACAAACCTACAGATTCCCAATTCTCTCCCCAGAGAGTCCAACCCAGTAATAGGTCTGGGGTGAACTCCAGGAAGCTACACCTGTAACAAGCTCTCTAACTCGGGTCTGGTTATAAGACCACTAGACTCTAACCTCAAGGGCTCTCAGGCTGGTTCTATGATTATACTTTGTGGATGAGGACACTGAAATTTCTGATCTCTAGCTTTATTAGGGAATGAGGGGACCTGACTAATAAGCTATTTTTCATGCTGGAGTAGGGGTTTACAATCATCCCCCAATTTCGAGAAAAACTGAGGATCCTATAGGAGAAGTGGCTTGGGTCACATACTACCTAAATATCAGAGTGGGAACTGGAATCCATGTTGATATGACTCATTCATTCGTTCAATGGAATTTTTACAATAGTCCGTGTTATTTATTTAAACATTTAAATTATGTAATTCTATATGAAATTATTTCCTCATAAAATGACTCATAGTATAAATAAAAGAAAAAATACCCTCTTCTCTAGTCTCATATTCCTCCTCAACGATCATCCTTTTGTTATTTTTTCTTCAAGAAAATATTCTATGACTTACATACAACATGCACAAATCAAAGAACTTGGGTTTAAGCCTTTTTAAAAAAATATTAATGAGATTACACATCTTCATTTGTCACTTAACAATAAGTCAGTACATAAGAGTCACATTATTCTTTTTAACTGCAGCATAGCAAGTTATAGGTCTTATGATGTATTTGAGTCTATCTGGCCATTTTCCACTGAATGACATTTAGGTTCTTTCTACAATTTTTCTATCACACACACACACACACACACACACACACACACACACACTGCTTCATCAAATATCCTGAAACATGATTCCATATGTATGATTTGATTTCTCTAAGATGGTCAGACATGTAGTTATGAGTTGAAGGGAATAAATGTTC